TTCGTTTCTGACTGATTTTTTTTTTAATCTCTTTTATCTCTGTGGTAAGACTCTCCCTGATGTCTTTCATGTTTTCTCAAGCCCACCAAATATCCTTAGGAATGTTGCTTTAAATTCTTCATCAGGCATATTACTTCTGCTTTTTTCCATTAGATCTCTGTTCATGATCTTTTCTTGTTATTTCTTTTGGGACGAATTCCTCCATGTTGACATTTTGTCTGAGTCTCTGTTGTCTTCTCTGTGTTAGAAAAGCTTCTTATGTTTCCTGCTCCTGAGAGTAATGGCTTTATGAGGAAGAGGTCATATAAGTGTCTATGGTCTGGAGCTTCAGGGAGTTTCTCTGGTATATGCTGCGTGTACTCTGCTGCTGTATTTTGGCTGCTTTGTCCCTCAGGTCAGTCATCTGCAGAGGCTCTCCATGCCTGTGGTGGGCAGTGTTTGGATTAACCAAAGTATGGAGAGTTTTAACAAGGTGTGCTCTGGTCTGCTTGTTAAATGAGACCTGATTCTACTTCCACTAGAACTGAAGCTGTGCGGAACTCTGTGGCCGGTACATGTGATGCATACAGAAGTTTCTGCTGGCCTTCTGAGGAAGGGGCCCACTGTGCTGCTGCTTAGGCACTCTTGCCTGAGAAAAGCAGTACCACTGCAGCGCAGTTGGGTGGGACTTGGTGTGAGCAGGTAGGGCAGCCAGTGTTGGTGCTTGTGTTGTTTACTGAAGTTGGTTTATGCTGGGTGGTGGGGGAGGGAACTGGTGTCGCCCAGCTCCTTTGTCCTCGGAGAGGGGTCTCTGTGCAATCAGGGAAGTATTCCAGAAGAGCAAATAATTTTCCCTTGTGCATCCCAGGCAGTTTTCAGATTGCTGGTTTCCTGCTGTTTCCATTTGCCTGCCTAGAACACTGCAGTGCACTTTGGGCTCTATTGTAGCCAAGCCTGCTAAACTTCATTTAGCCATTCTTTTAGGGCATGTCTGTTGGCTACAAATTCTCTTAGTTTTCTTTCATTTGAGAATTTCATGACCTCCCTTTCATTCAGATGACATTTTTGAATGTGCTTCTAGTAGATTTTAGCTGGAAATAGGATTTGGGGTTGACAGTTCTTGTCTTTTAGCACTTGAAAAATATTGTGTCATTTCTTCTGGCTTCCTTTGTTTCTGATAACTGTCATTCAAATCATTTCTACCACCTTATTCCCCCGAAAGTAAAATATATGTCTTGGAGCTTTACACATTTTTTTCTTTGTCTTTAGTTTTTAGAGGCTTGACTATATGTGTTTGTGTGAATTTCTTTCTTTGTATGAGTTCATCTTGTTTGGGGTTTGCTCTGCTTGTTTTATTTTATTATTTATTATTTTATTTAGGGTGTTTTATTTAGTTTTGTTTTTTGCCAAATTCAAGTGAGTTACAGCTACTATGAATACTTTTCAACCACACCCTCTTTTTCTCTACTCTTGGGATTTGAATGACATGAATATTAGCTCCTTTGTTATAGTTCCATAGGCCTTTGAGGCTCTGTTGTTATGTTTTACAACTTGTTTTCTCTCTGTTGCTTCGGTTGGGAAGTTTCTCTTCCATCTTCAGGCTCACTGGTTTATTTCTCTGCCTTCTGCTGTTGACCCTATCCATTGACAGTTTTACTTCAGTTATTGTGTTTTTCAGTTCTAAAAATTTCACTTTATTCTTCTCGCGTCTTTTGTTTCTTTGCTGAGACTTTGTCTTTTTTCATTTGTTTCAAGCAGGTTCATAATTATTTGAGGCTTTTTTTTTTTATGGTGGCTGCTTTAAAATCCTCTTAGAGGATTCTAAATTTTTGCCACTTCAGTGTCTTTTCTCAGTTGAGGTTTCCTGATTCTTGGTATGATGAGTGATTTTAGGTTGAAATCTGGACATCTGAGTGTTAGGTGATGAGACTCTGGATTTTATTTACTTCTTCTGTGTTAGCAGGTCTCCTGTGACCTTATTCCAGTGGGGAAGGGGGAGTGCCGTCTCATTTCTACCAAGGGCAAGTGGAAGTCCAGGCCTCCCACTTGGCTTCTGTTGACATCCGAGTGGGAAGGGCTCTTCATTACTCTACCAACACCAGCTTGGTTGGAAGGGGTGAGGTGCCTCCTTACTGTTCCCCTTGTGGTCTCCACTTAACCCAGAGGAGCATGGGGATTGGCAGGGGTTGGGGGAGACGTTGTTACTGCTCAGCATCAGTGCAAGTCCCAGTTTCTCACCTGGTGTTGTCTGACATCACTCCAGTTGTACTTCATTTTAGCCCGATGTACCTAGAAGTTTAAGCTTCCTACCGGGTATTTCTAGCAGGGGTGAGAACTTTTTTTTTTTTTTTTTGGTAGTGTTAACTGGAATTGAGTGGTTATTGTTTAAAATTTTTCTGTATGCCTAGGCTGCCCCTGTCCTAGCTCTTTGACTAGTCGTGATGGGTCCTAGCGGTGACCCCCCCCCACCCAAAAGAAAGTACGTTCATGTCCTAATTCCCAGAACCTGTGAGCATTACCTTATATGGCAAAATATGTGATTAAGGATTTTGAGAAGAGGAGCTTTCCCAAAGTCTCCAGACTTTAGGGACCTGGTATGGTGGGGACCATCGCTGGTCTTGGGGAGAGTCTCACCGCACTGGGATGGATGCAGGTTTGACCAAGAAGGGCAGTCGCTGGAACTCAGGGCCATGGGATTTGAAGCAAAGCAAGGTAAACAGCCAGTGTCTGGGTTAGCTGCCCTCAGCCGGTGTCTCTGTCATTACGCTGAGGGGTGTGGGGGATGGAAAATGTTCTTTTGTCCCCAGAGAGGCCCCTTTTTGAAAGCCGCCTCTCAGATGTGCTCCATGAAGAGAGGACAATTTTAGGGATCCTCAGATCACTGCACTGCCTGCCCCAGGGATTGTTTGCCTGCCTGCTCTCCAGGAGTAGGGCAGTGCCCTCAGGGCTCTATCCCAGCCCAGCCCCATGACCTCTAAAACTTCTGTCTTTGAGCCCTGCTGGTTGCCAAAAAGAGAAAATCAGCCCCTTGTTATCCAAGCCAGTGGCTTTGGGGAAGCATTTTCCTTGTGCTTATCCCTGTGCTCTCTCCTCTCGCCTTTGTTCACCACCAGGGCTTCTTCCCTGTATCCATTTTCCTGGTGCTGGATTGTTGGTTGCCTCCTTTCTTTCACTCCTTCCTTTACTTCTCCCTCTCCTCCTCTCTCTCCCTACATACTACCCTTTTCCTGCTTCCTTAAAGCAGTGATAACGTAGACATTTTTGTAGGTTTCTCGGGGCTGGGTCACAGGATGTATATATGTTCTGTTTACATGGTGATGACCAGTTGTACAGGTAGTCCCAATGTGGTTGTGTAATCTTACGTTCTCATGAGGAGTGTGTGTGTAAGGACGCTTGCTCCGTGTCTTTACCAACACTGGTAGAATCAGGCTTCCTAATTGTTTTCAGTCTAGTGGGTGCAAAATGGTACTTCACTGTGGTCTTGATTTGCATTTCCTCAACTGCTAATGAGATTGAACATCTTATATATTTATTCACCACTTGTATTCCTTTTTTTTCCTGTGAAATGCCTGTTCTGTCTTATGGGCATTTTTCTGTTAGTCTGTTTTTCTATTGATTTTTAAGAATTCTGTGTTTATAATAATTATTTTCTCCCAGTTTGCAGGTTTGCTTTTTTTCTATTTCCATGAAGTCTCAATGAGCAGAAATTCTTAATTTTAATTTATTTCAATTTACTGATTTTTTTTTTAGAGGTCAGCACTTTTAAAAATACAATTTGTTACAACAGTAGTTTCCCATCCCGAGCTCATAATAGTCTTCTGTATTTTCTTCTAAGACTTTTTATGTTTTAATTTTCATGTTTAAGTCTTTGTGTATGCTGAAGGTAGAATTCCAATTTCATATATTTTCATATGACTGTTTCAGTCATGTCAGTCTTATTTATTGAACATCCATGCTTTTCCATGGATCTGCAATGCCGCCATTGTTGTCTGCTCAGTTTGCATGGATTGCTTTTTCTTTTTCTTTTTTCTTTTTTTTTTTTTTTTTTATGTTTATTTTGAGGGAGAGCGAGAGAGAGCAGGGAAGGGAGAGAGAGAATTCCAAGCAGGTTTGTCACTGTCATCACAGAGCCTGACATGGGGTTTGGTCTCATAAACCGTGAGACCCTGACCTGAGCCGAAAACAAGAGTCAGATGCTCAGCCCACTGAGCCACCTAGGTGTCCCACATGGATCTCTTTCTCATCCTTCTGTTCTCCAGTTGATCTGTTGCCTATCCCTGTAACCCATTCGATACTGTCTTTAATTGCTATAGCATTATAAGAAGTCTCGATATTTGGCAGAGGACAGATATTCTTACCTTATTATTTTTTAGGAATGTCTTGGGTATTCTTGGACTTTGCTTATCAATGTATTTACTGGAATCGTCTTGTTAAACTCCTTGAAAAATTATGTAGAGATTTTGATTATAATTGCTGTGGATTTATAGATCAGTTTGGAGAGAATTCTATTGCTATGGTTTTGTGACTTTTTATAAATCATGAATATATCTCCAGTTAAGTCTTTAATGTTTTTGAAAACAGTCTTCAAATTTTCTGCATAGGGGTCTTACATATCTTTTGTTAGATTTATTTCTGGTGTTTTTTTGTTGCTTATCTCTAGTAAAGCAGTCACCTTGCAAACTTTCATTATTACTAACAGTGTCTCTAGATTGTTTTGCATTATTTAGGTAGACCATCAAATTGTCTGAGTTTTGTTCCTCTCCAGTCTTTTAGAAATAACTCTGTATATTTCTTTTTTGTGAAAGTGCATTAGCCAGGACCTCTAATACAATACTGACAGAAAGCAGTGGCAGTGGGCATTCTTGTTCCTTTAAAGGGAATGTTGCTTAACATCTTACCATCATGAATTAATGCTTTTCAGTAGCCTTAAGTAAATAAAAGAAGGTGGGATTTCAGAAACAAATTTTGAAGTTTTGGTTTAACACATGAATATTGTTAACTTCAACTTTTTAAAATTGCAGATTTGCTGTTGCTGAGTCTGATTGTAATTTAGCAATTGCCTTGAATAGAAGTTATACCAAGGCTTACGCAAGACGAGGTGCTGCTCGATTTGCTTTGCAAAAATTAGAGGATGCCAAAAAAGGTATTAACATTTTCAGGTTATTATTATCTAAAAAATTCTTTAATAGTTTAATTTAACAGATGACTATACAAAGAATACTAGACAATCACAGTTACTACCCTCAGAGAGCTTTCTGTATGTGAGTAAATCTCATTTTTGCTACTTTGGGAAGGAATGCGTTATTTGCCACCAATCAGACTTTGGTTAAAATTCTTATTCCACTGTGTATTAGCTGTGTGACCAAGGAGAAGGTTATGGATCCCCTGTGATTTTTAGTTCTTTAGCTGTAATATAAAGATTAAATTATCTTGTTGGATATTGTGGGGCTGAGGCACTGCAGATAGAGTCCTTGACGTGTTTTTCTTCATTTGTAAATTCTAAGTCTTTTGTTTTTCCATAAAATAAGTCTGAGTACTATAAATCATAAAATCTGAATAAAGTTCATAATCTAACAGGAATCTGCTGTTTCTTAGTTTTATGATGTACAACTTAGTGATAGCAAGTATCCTTCCTGGGGCTGGTGGAAGAAGGTGAATTGTCAAGGGATTCTGTTAGGATTTTGTTTGTCTTGGTGGAGAATGGAGACAGTCCAGTAGCATCCTATTGGTTAGTATTTCTTGGTTCCTCTTAATTTTGCTGTAAGATGCATGCCTATTTGTCACATATAGCAAATGATTGTTTTATAGAATTTTTAAATAACCTGTCTTTCACATATTCTTTATCTTCAAATTTACTTAGATTATGAAAAAGTTTTAGAGCTGGAACCAAATAACTTTGAAGCAACGAATGAACTCAGGAAAATTAATCAGGTAAAAACATAGTTATTTAAGTGCATTACTTACCTTTATTTGACGATGTAAAGGTTTTTGCATAGTCTTTGTACTGTAGATTACTTAATATAGACTTTTTCTAATTTTAATTCTTTGTACTATACAGTTTTATAAACAAATTTGCAAGCTAGAGGAAGTAGAATGATATTTAAAGATCCCTAGGAATCATCATCTTAAAAAGTCATCTGAGGGGCACCTGGCTGGCCTAGTCAGTAGAGTATAAGACTCTGGACCTTGGGGTTGTGAGTTTGAGCCTCATCCCTGGGTGTAGAGATTACTTAAAATCTTAAAAAAAAAAAAAAATCAGAGGGTTTTGAGCTGCTGCTTTATTTTTTCCCAGATGACAGAGTTATTCTTCTTTATCCCACTAATTTTTCTTTTTTGGCTTGTGCTTTTATTTCTGTATAAAACTTTTGCATATTTCTTTGATTTTGTAAGTTTTAAAGTTGTTCTATATTTATAGTTTATATCTTAGCAAAAACTATTAATTTTTTAACAGTAAGAAAATAATTATTAAACTATAAAATTTGTTGTTAAATGATACTGTACAATTACATATTCTTTTCACTTTGCTGTTGAATGAGAGTTATGATTATTGGGCCATGCATTGAAACTTTGAGGAAAAAATGACAGTAATTGGAGAAAATCTGCTTTTAAATATTGCCATTACTTATAGCACGTAAAATCTGTTAATTAATGTATCAACTTTCTTATAATCGTGAACTGTGTTACATATTTTTGTATTTTATTTGAGGTCAGATAGTGACTGAAAACGAAGTTTGAGAAATTTGTTGATGTAGTCTTCATTATCTGTTTATTTTTGAAAATAGTTTCTAGGATGGTTCATGGCCTGTGTAGAATTTCAATAAATATTTGTTGGATAAATAAGTGAACAACTAACATTAGTGATTTTAATTGGAATAAGATGTGTATTAAATTTATTATGTATTTGTTTTGTTTTGTAATTTGAATTAGATTTCAAATTAAAGATATTATTTCAATATTAATTTGAAATGTGGCAAAAATTCTAATACATTTGAGTAATTTAGTATTTCCCAGTCAAATATATATGCATCTTGCATTACTTGTTTTATTTTAACGGACTTCTGTCTCCTAGGCTTTATCATCCAAAGAAAATTCATACCCAGAGGGAGCTGATACGATGTTTAAGACAACTAAAGAAGAGAAAAATCCAATTGAACAGCAACAGAATAAGCAACAGGCCATTTTACAGAAAGATCTGGTAATCAGATAGATTTCAACAATCAATTCAATTTGTTGAATTTACTCTTTGTTTCTTGTGTATCTGTTTCTGTCTTTTATATGTAAATTCTTCAGTAGGAGTTGAAAATTATACTAAAAACCTCTGGAGCTTATAATTCAAAACTTTAGTAATTGATGACTGAATACATAATTTAGAAAAACATAATTTAGGGAGAAAATTATTTTGAGTATTTGAACATATTTACATATAGATGTAAATTTAACATAGGTATAAATTGCAGTTCATTCTTATATATATTTTTTTCTCATTAATTCACACTGGACTGTTTCTGATAAATTCCTTTAGAAATCATGAGTTGAAATTTAATTTAATATCTCTGTAGTTTTTCATGGACCCTTAAGAGATTTTTAATAAACACTTATGGAATGATTATTGTTTGTGATAAACCTGACTAATTATAAGTGAACATTACAGGGTAATCTGGTATGCACATTCTAATGTGGTTAAATTTATCCTGTGTTTAGACATTAGTTAATGTTACCAAAGAATAAGCTGTACAGTTCTGGTACTCTGTCCTTTCACAAAAATTATTTGAGTTATAAAGTTCTATTGTACAACTTTTAATTTAACTAAAGAGTATAAAATTTGGGCCTATATTTATTACCGTGTGTTTTTAAATTTAAGCTTTAACATTTAATTAGGAGGGTAATGGTTAATGCTGCAAAGTAGTATAGTAACGTATGTTTCTTTTTAGTTCTGAAAAGAGAAGAATGCCATTACAGAAAACAACTTAAACTAACATTCTAAAACATGTATCATGGACTAGATTTTTAACATTAAAATATACTTTAATTACTGGTATAATATTGATGAGTATTCTCTTAGTGTTTACTTAAGATTTGAATTCAACTAATTTTTTTGCACTATTTTTTCATTCTTATTTATATTTCTCTCCAAAATGATAGGGGAATGGATTTTTCAAAGAGGGAAAATATGAAAGAGCAATAGAATGCTATTCTCGGGGGATAGCAGCAGATGGCACTAATGCCCTTCTTCCGGCTAACAGAGCAATGGCCTATCTGAAGATTCAGAAGTAAGTGTTGGATATATTTAATGCTTTTTAGGATGAAAATCAAATTTACCATAAATTGTTTTATTAGATAGACAATAAAGTATAATTTATTTACTCTTGAGCATTAAATTTAAATGAAAGAGAGACTGAGTGAGTGTGTATCAATACATATTCAGTAAATATTTGCTCTTGTTATTATTTTCCCACTCTTAATAGTCTGGCATTACACAATTTAACATTAAATGTTGCATGCGTGTTATTCTGAATTACTGATTTAAAAATTATTTTAAAAAATTCTTTTAAAGTTTATTGAGAGCGAGCGATCGAGAGAGAGAGAGACAGAGCTTGAATAGGGGGAGGGACAGAGAGGGGAGAGACACAGAATCTGAAGCAGGCTCCATGCTCTGAGCTGTCAGCACAGAGCCTGATGCGGGGCTTGAACTCATGAGGTGTGAGATCATGACCAGAGTTGAAGTTGGCCGCTTAACTGACTGTGCCACCCAGGTATCTCTAAAAATTATTTTAACCTTAGAACCTTTTGGGCACATTTTTATCTGGAAGTGTTTTATATATACATACCCATACTTCACTAAAGAGAGTTGTTGCCGTTGAGATCTGCTGATTGATTAGATGTATGCAGCTAAAACTTGGTTGTGTGGTACTAGACAGCTGTTGTGGATGCATTCAGGGGTTCAAGTTGGACAATCAGGATAATATCTGATGGCAGAGACTGTGTCTCACGGTTCTTTTTATCTGTTGTAATAATATTTTATACAGTAGTGACAGAGTTTAAGAAAAAACCATGTAAATACTAAAAATAGGGATTCTGATTATCTTGGTGCCATGGACCCCTTTGGCTATGTGGGGGACCTTCTTCAAAATATTTTTCCATGTATCATTGTACATTTGAGAATACAGAAGAAACCAGTTTTATTGAAACACAGTTTTTAAAATATTAAGATTTGTGATACAGTGATATATATACCACAACAAAATGAGAAACTACGTTTAAAATATAGGCAAATTAGGGGTGCCTGAGTGGCTCAGTTGGTGAAACGTCCAACTTCTTGATCTCAGCTCAGGTCTTGATCTCAGGGCTGTGTGTTCAGGTTCTGTGCTGGGCATGGAACCTACTTAAAAAATACAGGTAAATTTAAAGCTAAATTATTTTTTAAAGACATAATGTGAAAATTTAGATTTGGGGTGACCTGTATCTGTGACATGTTTTTCCACATATTGATGAACTAATAAGTGTGGATAGGGACTATCCAAAAAGCCACACAGATGATTGTGTTTTCAGTGTGATAACATGACCTTGCTCTTTGGTATCTGAAGGACTGCTAGGGACAGAGTTGCTCGACAGTTGGCCAGTTAGGTCACATAAGCATTTATAGATCGGGATTCTGTGATCACATACAAACAAACAGCAGGTTAACTTTCTTCTGTAATTCTGAAATAGTGGTGAGCATAAATAATATTTTGAGATATCTGTAACAGTTGTAATGTGGTATGAAAATATTGATGATATTTATTGGGTGCAAACTCAGCTACTGCTTTTGTTCCTGTGGTTTGTTATCTGCAGTTATAATGGAAAGAAACGCTAAATCCTATTTAAACTAAGTTAGTGAAAATAAAGATGTAATATTTTTCCCATCCAACTTTTCAGATCTCTCAAAGGACCTCAGGTTAGGAACTCCTGTCATATAAGTAAATTTTGTTTATATATATCCTCATTTAAACTAACAGACAGAAATGGGGTGCCTGGGTGGCTCAGTCTGTTAGGCATCTGACTTCGGTTTAGGTCATGATCTCGCAGTTCATGGGTTCAAGTCCCGTGTCGGGTTCTGTGCTGACAGCTCGGAGCCCGGAGCCTATTTTGGATTCTGTGTCTCCCTCTCTCTCTGCCCCTTGCCTGCTCACATTCTGTGTCTCTCTCAAAAAATGAATAAACATTAAAAATTAAAAAAAAAACTAACAGACACAATTAGAGATACATTTTTTTGAGAGAGAATACGTTAGTGAGAGTGAATGATGTGAAAAACAGGTTGAGCGTCCCAGTTCAGGTTTAAAGGCACAAGAGTGGAAAAGTTCATGTAACTTCTGAAAGGGCAAGTGGTTCATATTATGACTGTTATGCAGGTTACAGTGTTAGAGATAAGGCTGGAGAGCCAGACAAGCCCTTGACTTTGTGCTCTTTAAAGTACTGTAACCTGAAAAGTGTGGGGGCCATGCTCACGTCTTGAATGGGAGAATGATTTAATCAGCAAAGTAGAAAATATGTTGGTAGGGGCATGCACACACACACACTTGCACATTTACAGATATACTTTTTCTTTCATTGAAAAGCGAATTAAAGAATTAAGGGGTGGTTAAGTTTATTTGCAATTTTGACTTTGTTCTTATGAGGTCTTATTTAAGGGGTAGGTAGCAGTCATCTAGGCCTTGGGGAGAATATAATCACAGGAAATGCTCCTTTTTAAGAATATTTTTATTATGAAACTTTTGCAGCTTTCACGAAAGTAATATAATAAACTCCATGTACCAGATCATCTAGTTTTAACAAGCCGTACCTTTTTTGTTACATTTAGCTTTTTTCCTCTGAATTATTGTAAAGCAAATCATAGGCATTATGACATCTTATCCCAAAAGGATTTTTGTACATAACCACAATACCATTATCATGCCAAATAAATTCACAGTAATTCATTAATGTCATTTTGAAATATAAGAGGGTCTTCAGTTTTATGTTGTTTGTTTGTTTGCTGGTCTCCTTAGCTTTTTGTTTTTATAGAGCACTACCCAGTCTGACTGAATTGATTGCTGGTTGTATGGTTGAGTAGAATTTATGAAAAGTGTTAGATGATATGTCATTATACATATAAGGGGTCCTGAGTTTCATATGGTTTTGTTTTCCTTAGGTGATGTATACTGTGGGTAAATATTAATGAAGTTGGATTCGAAAATTAGTGCCAGTTCTAATTGTTAAGGTAGTACTTATATGCACTACACGTGAGTGCAGCTAGAGGGGAGGCAGGCTGCCAGCGGTGGGATTCTTTTGTCTGCTCTGCTTGTACTTTACCATCATTCTGTTCCATCCTTCCTGCACACTCTCTTCTGGGTTTCCTTTAACCTGGTACCTTTTCCCTGCTTACCAGATGATCCCAAGTTTTGTTGAGAATGAAGAATAAAAAAGAAATAATCTTCCTTCAAAGACAGATTTGGGAGTTTTTAATTGAAATAATATGCCTGCTCTTTACATTAGAAAGTCAGTTTATGTGAAGTTTTTCTATAAGCTGCATTTTCTGATTGTAATTTTGTCATATTTATTAATAGATATGAGGAAGCTGAAAAAGACTGCACACAAGCTATTTTGTTAGATGGCTCTTACTCTAAAGCTTTTGCCAGGAGAGGAACGGCAAGAACATTTTTGGGAAAGTTAAATGAGGCCAAACAAGGTACGACTGTTTTATAACAACTGTCACTCACTTGTCCTGATGAGACTCCCAAGTTACAGAAGCAGAGATTCATGTAGCGTTTCCATGGTTCACGAATACAGAACTTAGAGAAGCAAATTTTCTTTCACAGTCTAGGTCATTCATAGTTTGCATTTTGGAAGAATACGGCTTCCATATTGGACCTGATTATCTTTTACTTTAGTAGCATACAGTCTAATGTGGTTAATTGCCAATCAAAATTCATGAATAATTTGAATTATCACTGAGAAGAAAGAGGCAGAAAGAAAAAGAAAGGGAATCATTTGTTAAGGGTTAGAGGATAGTGTGGGATCTGCAGTGATGCTCCTTTTTATTCTTGGTATTAGTTATTTTATTTTTCCAGGATCTGTCAAATTCACGTATTCATTCTGTTAGTTTTTTAAAAGAACCAACTTGGTTTTCTTGTGTTTTCTTTTTCATTTATTTCTGCTCTTTCTTTCCTTCAGCTTTGTTTAGGTTTAATTTTGCTGTTTTTCTAATATTTTGACATCAGTACTTGGATTTTCAGCCTTTTTTCTCATGTGTGTATTTGAATCTGACAGTTTCTAAGCTTGGGTTTAGCTGTAGCTCGTGTATTTAAACATGGTAGTAAAATATACATAAAATTTACCATCTTAACCCTTTTTAATTGTATAGTTCAGTAACATTAAGTGCATTCATCACTGCCAGACATCTTCAGAACTTTCTCATCATCTAATCCTGAAAATCTACCCGTTAAAAAAGAACTTCCCACACCACCTCCCCCTCCTCCAGCCCTTGGTAACCATTATTCTACTTTACTTTCTATCTATGAATTTGACTATTCTACGTACCTCTCATATAAGTGGAATCATGCAATGTTTGTCATTTTCTGTCTGGCTTATTTCACTTAGCATAATAATGTTTTCAAGGTTTAAGGCTGAAGAATAATATTCCATTATATGGTCTCTTAGATTCTGTTGTAGATTTACTGAGTAACCCTGTCATTTTTTAATAGTGTGAGCTTTGATAAGTTAGATGACCTCTAGGTCTCAGTTGTATCATCTGTAAAGTGGGGTCGTGATGAGGGTTACATGAGAATTCACATAAAGTAATTAGAATAGCACTTAGTAAATGTTTAGCTCTTACTATAGCTCTCCTATTTCTGGCATCCTGAGTAAAACTTCTTGAGATAAACATGGGTTATTAACTAAATGTATCATGTCTTGAACTCCATAAAGTATTTTCACTAATTTATTGTAGTTCTTAAAAATTCACTTTAGATTTTGAAACTGTTTTACTTCTGGAACCTGGAAATAAGCAAGCAGTAACTGAACTTTCCAAAATTAAAAAGGTAATGTGTTCTTTTCGCCAAAATATGACCTTATTTTCTGAAACAGAAACACATTATCTGTTAACATAATTAACTTGAGAATATTTCGATAGTCATACTTACAAATTTATTTTCAAGGACTTAATTGACAAAGGACACTGGGATGACGTTTTTCTCGATTCTGCACAAAGGCAAAATGTGATAAAACCTATTGATAATCCATCTCATCTTGGGTCAACTGTAAGTGAAAAGCACTTTTTTTTCCCATTTTTTCCTTTTTAAATACCAGTGTTGTATTATTAAGAGTTGGAAGCAAACTGTTGAATTAATAAACTCTTAAAAGAAACGTTGAAAGCTGTTAGGACTATTTTTAGAATCTTTAAAAAATACTTCTTAGGATTATAGACATAATAAAATTGGAGAAGATTCACCTGTTTAGAATTCTGGCATAACTTTTTCAGTGACTTAATTTAGCGCTATAAATTTAAATATTTTTATATGTTTTCAGATATTAAAGATATTTAAAGTAGTTTTACATTTTATAATTCAATATTTTTAACAGCTAGTACCATTCTTATTTGAGATTATGATTTTATTAATAAGAACCTTGCATCTTGTTTGGGGTTTGATTTAAAATCAGCACCTAAGCTCAACAACAACAGAAATGAGGTGAATGTGCTTTACCTGTCAACTCCTACTGTTCAGATCATCTGCAGGTGGAGGTGGAAGGCGTGCTCCCCAGGGCCACCAAGACGCGGGAGGTGGAGGTGGCTCACAGCCCATGAATGGTTTTGGGGGTGGGGGGCATGGAGTAGGACGTGCAGGATGGTCCTGGTAAGGGAGGAAGTTCTCTTGCATCCATAGTGACCTGCAGACAACAGAAGTGAAAGCTGTGTTGATATGACAGACAAAAGAACCAATACCAGCAGCAGCTGAAACCCAAAAAAGCAAGTGTCGGCATCTGTCACCTTTTTAACCACCAGGTTCCAAGAGAGCAGCATCAGTGTCAGAAACTCTGTCCTTCCCACGGGGTGTCACCTACAGCTTGGGGGAATGGATGCCAGGAGGTTAAACTACTGTCACCACCTGTCACTGCCCATGTCTGCGAATGTAGAATAGCAGGGGGTTGCATCCTAGAGGATTAACACAAGTAATTATAAACTAATAAAGTAGCATATTTCAGGTAGGCAGGCATCTGTGTCCGAGGTAACCCTGTATCCGTCCGTCCCCCTCTGTGGCCACAGATGGTGGTTATTAGTATATTGAGAAGAGAAAGAATGGGAATCAAAAGCCCATTGTCTGCACATGGAATCATAGTCATTCTCATGGAGAGGTGCTGCCTGTTAGTCCTGACCTCCCTCTTGTCCCCCCCCGGACCAAGGGGTCTTCTCTCTGGAAGTTCTGTCCATGGCCTCAGGCCCTAGGTGGATAGGGGTGCCTGGAGTCTTGCAGGGGAACTGAGGAAGGATTTCCTGAGAGGAACATGTGACTCATAAATATCAGCTAAGCTCAGCTATGTTTATGTTAATTCATTAGTTCTGATTTTCAGGTATGCTGTGAGACACACAGTGATTATGTTCTATGGAAGAAGGAGACAAAATTTCTAAATGATAGGAGGAACACAGATGTGTTTTGATTTCTGGTATGAAACTCCCATGATGTATCTTGAGAGGCGGTATGAGTTCTAACAGTGACTCAGGACACAACCACCTGCTCATATGGACACAACCACCTGCTCATATGAACACAACTGAAGGACTTTGTGGGGGACTGGCCCTGCAGTATGAACTCCTCTCTTCCTTTGTAATGTCATTTCCAGTATACGTTTTCTACCACAAATATGTGACTTCTGACAGTCCAGCATATTTTTACCCAGGGTACAACCAGAGGGATTCCATATAGTGCCTGTGCCACCAGAGAAGGAGCAGTGATGAGTTAAGGAAATTTACCTAAGACCACTCAGAATTGCACAAAGCACACAATATAAAGTTGGAGGGATGGGGTTTCACATTTTCCAGTTGTGAGGATTACTGCAGACATTCTGAACAGGTGAATTGACTGGAAACAGGAAAGGAGGAAATGACAGGAATGATCTCACTTAGAGGAGTTCTTCAGTCAGGCCAGGAGCTTCAGTGTGGAGTTCGGTGTCATCCTCATGTTATTCCCGGAAATACACAAAGCCCCAAGGTCCTCAGCCTTCAAGTGCTTCTGGCTTCTGGAGGCACAACCAAGATGGCAAGCTGAAAATAGAGAAGCCTGTAGGCTCCTGGGCTAAGAGTTTACACTTTGAAAATAACACAGGAGACATATCACGTGACACACAAAACAGAGTAAGGCCAGGAGAGAGTGCTGCCCCAAAAGATGAAGGTTTCCCAGGAGAGTTACAACTGGAATTGGCCACAGCATTTGTCTTGTCCTCTATATCCTTGGTAGAGACAGAGCTGCTGTTCATCACGGGAGCAGCCCCAGCTTCCAGAGCTGATAAAGGCCCTAGGAGGAATGGAGGGCTATTGTAATTTGGATAGATTGTGCAGAATTAAAACAAAACCTCCACTTACTCTTCCACCATCTTAAACTCTCTACTCTCAGGTCCCTGATCGGAAGCAGAGTTTCTTACATGCTCCTTGGTGACCCCCAAGGATTGGGAGGAGACCTGTCCTTTATCCTTAGTGAAGACACCAACAGGGTCCTGGTTCAGGTGTTCTTATAACTCATCAAACAACTGTGGACAGCTTGAGGCCACAGCTGGAAATAAAGTTAGAGGTGTGCCTCATGGCTTGAAGAATCCAGCACATGGTCTTTGTACAGTGCACGTTTGCAGAAGTGGTATGTCCGCCTAGCTGTAAACAGCCTCATTCTTTCTCTGTGAGAGACTCCTGCATCCCAGCTCTGTGTGGGGAAATGACACAGCCCATCACATGTATGTCCTGAGAAACCTGAGGATTGTTACAGTGTGCTCAGTCAGGTTTATTACCCTAACACTGCAAAGCCCTCAGCACCAGATCTACACCTTTAAAAAAAATCAGCACCTAAGGCAAAACTGTAGTATATGCAAATTATAAATATGCCATTATAAAATGGTATAAAATATATTTAAAACATTTATATTATATATTAAAAATATACCATTGCACATTGTTTTTGGTATATTGTTGTATTTTTCATTAAGTCAATGAAGCCAGTTTTTCCCCTGCAGTATTAGAAAAGCTGGCATGAATTTAGCAATTGGCTTTGTGCTCGATCTTTAAAGTTATTCATTTAGGGCAATATATATGTGTGTGTGTATATATATATATATATATACACACACACATGCATATATACACACAGACACATGATCTATCTATCTATATGATATGAGTCTGGTAATTTCTACCATTCACATATACAGAAGAGTACACAGACAAAGTAAGATTAAAAAATAATTATAAAATGAACACCCATGAAGTCAACTACGTCAAAAATTGAAAAGACAACCCCGTGTGCCCCTTACTGCTCATGATCCTCTTCCTGAAAGTAACTGTTATGCATGGCAGATGCTTTGAGAGAAACAATTTTATAAAGAAGTCAAAACAGATACTTTGTCTTCCTTTTACAAAGGAAGAAAGGCCAAGAAAGTTTGTTTTTTCAAGTTCATATTTCAGGTTAGTAGCAGAATTTCTTAGTTTAATGCTTTTCCAGGGTTGTTGTTATTTTTGATAAAGTTCCACACCTAATGTGGAGCTTGAACTCTGGAGTCTGACATCGAGAGTTGCATACTCTACTGACTGAGACAGCCAGGCAGTCGCCCCCTAGTGTTCTTACTGGGACTTTATTCTGTGACCACACTTGTTCATATGCCAGGCATAAACCTAGTAGCTTTTATACATCGTATTAATTTTGATACATTATGTATTTTGATACATTATGTTAACGTGCTACTATTCTGTTCTTTTCAGTAAAGGAGATCAATGTTTTCATTAAAAGTGGTTTAAACTTTTTCATCTTTAAACATAAGATGTTTTCACAAAAATTAATTCACAAGTCTTAAAGAGACTTTGTCAGACTTTGTTGTCTGTAATTATAAAAACATTGCCAGGTATTAAATCAAATATCTGTGTATGTGATGTCCCATGGCCAGTGTACCCTAAGGAGCTTTTATAAATTTGCTAGGTTCTCTTCTCCCTCAGTTTAAAAGTCAATTTAATAGTTTGAAAATGCAACATGTATTTAAATCTTTTGTGGCAAGATCTCAAAACAAACAGAACACCTCTGTGAAATGAAAAATCTGAGGCAAACCATTCTGTAAATGATCCCAAATGAAATCAGTATCCTAGTGGGGAAGGGAAAAATTGCTGTTTATTTTTATAATAGGTCTCTATAATAAAAAAGTGGGTGTTATGTAAAAAATAAAAGATGCAGTTTGGTGTAATGTTTTTAAGAGTTGATTTGAGCCCCACTTTATAAACTTCGAACTCTTGGGCAAGTTACCAAATCCCTGTGTGAGCCTTACTTTTTCTCTTTGAGAATAACTCACAGGTTAGTTTATATCAAAGGAAATAATATCCATTAATGCGAAAGCAGTATTAGGTGAAGTGAACATTAATTTCCTTTTCAGTCTCATATTTGTGAGACAACCTGATCACTGGGGAAAGTGGGCAGGAAAAAGAGGAAGGCCCAGGACATGGACAGAGTCCTAGGATGACTTCAGTCGAGTGAGAGCCTAGGCCAGGGAGGTCTGTGTTTCAAGGGCTGACAGCCTGGGAGTACGTTTGGCAAATCTCTGGAGAGAGTGTAGGTGGGCAGGGGGTCCCTAATGGGTGCTAATAAACGAAAGGCCTCTTGTTCTTGTAGCCTCTGCTGAAATACTTTGTTTTATTTTCACGTTTCTGTTTTCCTATAGCAAATTTTTACCTTTCTTCCTGGTCCTTCCCCATTTCTTTCTCCCTTTCTGTTTATTTTTATTTTTCTCTTTTCTTGAAATGGCCATATTAATATAGAGCTAAGTAAAATGTCATGCATCTAAATTTAATTTTTAAAAAATGGTTAATTGAACCTTCCATATTTTCTTACATCTTTCTGTAGTGGTATCTTCTGTGTTTTACCCCTGTTAACCAGTGTAGTGTCACCCCCTGTCACCCCCCACCCGTCCCCTAACCATCAGTAGCCTGCAGCCGCTCCCATTGGGAGCTGTCTACGCTTAATAGAGACCACCGATTAGGAAATTTTAAAGTTGGGATCATGTTGACACATCTGTTGTAGGATTTAGTTTTAAATGGAACTGTATTGATACAGTTCAGTGATTATTGCCTCTCAGAAATTACAGTTTATTTTGCAGCACTAACACATACACATGATATTCTTGGTTAATATCTTCATAAAAGACTGTTGCTATTGATAAGCAAAGCAAAGGCCTTAGCTTAACATGATTGCACTTTAAATAGAACTGCTACTGTGATTCTGTTAACAAATTTGCTAATAGCTTTTAAAATTTATGTTCATTCATCCAGTAACATTTGGTTGTTAACTGTTAGGTCTTAGCTGTGTTAATAGAATGTCTGGATTTAACATTGAGTTTATATATCATTGAGTTCAGTATATATGTCAGAAAAAGTTTTTATATTTACAACTTTTTAATTTAAAATTCAACCATACAATTGGAATGAACACTTAGGTTATGTTGAAGAAAAGTTTTTTATTAAAAATTACAAAAGTATTATATGTAAACTTAAGAAATTTGAATGTTTGACACAATGAAAAAAGAGTGAACCCTATTTTATTAAAAATCATTGTGGTCAAGTCTTACCAACTTCATGAATATATATGGCAGATCTTTAATCCTTTGCTGGTTTTATCCAGCTGCTACATATTAGAAAGGCTACTTAGATTTTAATGATAGTCTGTTTCATACAGAATACTAGTTAATTGCCTGGCCTTGTTCTGCTTGTCTTCTCTGTAGGTTTGGCTATCATTTTTCTTGGCTTTGTTGTCTGTAGGATAAAGTCCAAAGTCCTTGACAGGGTGCATAATTCCTTTATAAACTGTCTTTAAGGAGCCTTTCAGGCTTTGTCCACACCATTCCTCCCCTTGCACCAGCCCCGTTGGACTTATCATGTTTCCACTGACCATGCAGTGCCCTTGCACATTGCCATTCACATGTCCTTTTTCTGTGAAGGTTCCCCTGATGCCAGTGTTTATCTTCCTTCTTCTGTGTTCTCTTACCATTTTGTGCTTTCACCTTTTATAGCATGCATCCCATTGTCTTGTAATTATATATACGAGCATCTCTTCTTTTTCCCATTCATACTTCTGTATGGTCGGTGCTGTGCATATTTTTAATTTTTATTCTCAGAGTATGCTCCTTTCTGTCTAACCATCAAGTTGAATTTACTTACAGCTGTTAGTCTGGAAAATTAAAACCCAAGTACATTCTCAAAATATGTAGCAGATAACACTGCAGTTTTTAATTTGTGATCCTAAAATAGAAAACCCTAATATGTTGATTTAAAGAATTGATTTTAATTGTTTTAGAAACCACTCAAGAAGGTTATTATTGAAGAAACCGGTAATTTGATACAGACTATTGATGTACCAGATACTGCTGCTAATAACATTACTCTGGCAAACGGGATAGCAAGTGCAGGCGCTGCAAGTAAGAAGAATTCAACCCAAGATGACCTTTTGCCCACAAGTGATATTCCAAAAGCAAAAGTACTGAAAATAGAAGAAATCAGTGATACTTCAGCCCGGCCGTGAGTAGAAGAAATACTCTTACATTATGCTGATCTAGAATGGTAATAATTCACTAGAAAATTGATACTGCTAAGGAGACATCTGGTTTGTACTCATCACCATAATTCTTTGAACTGCCCAACTTCACATTCTAGTTTTTCATTTGTACTTAACTGTAAGAGAGGTTTTGCTTAAGGTGTGATCACTAGTCCTACACCATAGCAGGGAATTTAGAGAAAGAAAGTATCTTGAGCAAATTGATTTTGTACCTTTTTGTTCCAGAACTTCATTGTATGCATTTCACTTTTTAATTCAGAAAAAAATCTTTAATTTTTTAAAAGGAAGCTTCATAAAATGTAAAATTTAATCATTATTCTAGTCATTAATATGTAAGATTATTTATGGGTTCCTTAAATTATGTTTGGAATTTTAAAATAGTCATGTGTATGCTTAATGGTAAGAATATAAAAAATATAGATTAATTAGGTTTCTTAGGGGATGTTGAAGCTTTATTCATACATTCTTGTATTTGCCACTCAGCAATCCTATTAAAAGTTTTTTTTTAGTGTTGAATTTTAGTGGTTTTTAAAGTGATAGTGATTAGTGATTTGAGGAAAACAATAAATAGGCAGATTTTTTTTAAAGGAGGAAGCATTTCTTGGTGTCTTGGAATGTCTTTCTTGACACTGTGCTAATTCAGATTTCGGAAAGGCTGAGTTGTGAGTTGTGTGATGTGATGTAGTAACGTAGTATATAGAAATGGTGCGCTTTAAAAGGTGACCAGGCTAAATCAGCTCAACAGATGAAAATGGCTATTATATAACCAGCATGTGAAAATTTGCAAAAGCATAATCTCTCTTGCCAAAAATACAGATACATTGACAGCTGAAAGAATTTGCTATGTGCAGAATATAGTTACAATACTGTATTAGTAAAGTCAGAAATGAAAAAAATCTCTGTTGATGTCTCCTTACATAAGCTTTGACTATTTATGGTTCTTTTTTAATTGTTTGATGCCTCTGAAATATTTCAGACCTCAAGTCAGCCTGAAGCAGGATGTATGCCCATCTTTCAGTGAGAAGATTTCTCTACAGATAGACAAAGCACCTCAGTTTATCACTACTGTGCTTCCTCCTGTTCCTGCAAACTCATTCCAGCTTGAATCTGATTTCAGACAACTGAAAAATTCCCCAGATATGCTGTATCGGTATGTGAAGGTAAGAAAGAGGAAGCTAGCGTTCTAGTTAGGTAAAAGGTCAGAGAGCCTCTTTTGTCACTATATAATAAGAGGACCGTACTTGCTGTTTGTATAATAGGATTGTAAAACCTTTGCCGAATGCATATCTTACCCAGGCCAGACCGTTTAAATATTTACAACCAGGAAGCCTTTGGAAGTAGGTTCTGTGTTAAATTCTGTGGTCTAGAATAACTTAATCTAATTTTAAAAACCATAACTTAAACTTAATTCTTCATTCTTCTTTAACTTTTTTAAGAAGTTAAAATACATTGAGTGCCTTCCATGTGTCCCAAGCACTGCTCGCATATTTAGGCACTCATTCTCCTGAAAATGAGCTCTTACTTGCTCCCAGAAAAAGAACAAATCTTATGATATTTGCCAAATAATGGATTTTAGCATTGTCTTTTTCAAACATTATTACAATAATAATCCCTTGCAATTTTCTAGTATACAGTTACTTCTAAATACATTATCTCATGTACTTCTGTTTTTTAAACTGGTTATTTTTATTGCTCCTTGAGAGCACTCTCAAGTTTCCTGTCTGTCCTACGGGGATGTACATCTGCATCTCTCTGTTCATGAGACTTTTCCCTGCCTTGGACGGAGCGATTATCTTACAGTTTCTGTAACTTTCATTCTTCTGTCACAGTTACATTTCAGCGTGACCCCAGTATTACTCAGTAAGGATGAATGCATAATAGTTATTCTTCACCATATTCACCTAACCAGTTATATACATAATTTGTGATATGTGAATGTTGCTATAATGTAATTTTCTAACTCTTTGTATCTTTTCCAAGCAAATTGAACCATCCATGTATCCGAAGTTGTTTCAGAAAAATCTAGATCCAGATGTATTCAACCAAATCATTAAAATTCTGCATGACTTTTACATTGAGTAAGTTGAATTTTTTTCTTTATACCTGCATATTGTAATGTTATGCTATTTCTAGTGATTTGGGAAAGTCATTCTCTTCGTCCTCTTCCTACCTTCTGTATAACTAAATCAGCTTTCGAGTAAATTTCACCATGCAGAAGTTGTAAAGAGATGACAAGTGCAAGCTACACTTCACACTTAAGAGTTTTATGATTTCTTCAATTGACGAAAAATCTCTTCATTTGGCCACTTAAAATATAGACTGTATCCAGGGAAAAAAGATAAATGAAGATCTTATTTATATATAATTAGACATATTGTGTTAGAAAAAAACAGAATTAAATGAGCTACTTTTAATTAATCATTTTTTCTATATTTGGATTATTTCAGGAAAGAAGACCCATCACTCATCTTTGAAATCTTACAAAGACTTTCTGAACTAAAAAGGTTTGATATGGCAGTGATGTTTATGTCAGAACCTGAGAAAAAAAGTAAGTTCTGTGAAGAAAGCTTTTCCACATCTCTTTATTCTGACCTGTTCCTTTATTCAACAAACGATAGGGAACATTTTATTGAATATTTACTAGTACAAGGCACATATAATTAAATTTAAATTAACAGTTAAGTTAAATAGAATTACAGTTAGGTGAAATAAAATCTTTTAATCCTGACCACAGCATTATTATGAGCTGTAGGTGTGATTACCAGTTCCCTTTTACAAAGGTGGAAACTGATGCATAGAGAGGTAAGGAACTTGACCAAGGTCGCCTAGGTAGGAAGCCAGACCCAGGATTCAAACTTAGGCTCTAGAGTGTGGACCCTTCTGGAAAGTGCATCCGAGCGGAATGGTTGGGAGCCTGCTGTTGTGCACCATGTACAGGGCCCCGCCACAGGAGCTGGTAGCTGGGCACGAGCGCAACGGAGGTGGGACTCCTGCTCTGGGCAGGATCTTCCCGTGTTTGATTTCAGCTGAGTTCACACACAAGGTGCAGGAGTTGATGAACGAAGTGGGTGGGGAGGAGTTTTCGACCGAGGGAGCAATGTCTGCAGAAGTTCTGAGGCAGGAGAGAGCAAACTGAATTCAGAAACTGAAAGCAGTACAGTGCAGCTGGACTGTAGGGTCAGTGGGGTGGGTGGCGGGGGGAGGAGATTGGCAGGTGATGAGCCTGCAGAATTGTGTGCCTTACTTGTTTCTGTGTCTTGGTCTTTCCTGTGAGGTGTCAGCGTAGGGAAACCTAACTAAAATCAGATTATGAGGGAACTTCAATTACTTAGAGTTTTGGGCTTTAGTTTTAGGGAAAAAGAAAAGGCATTAGAATACAAGAGTACCAGTTTAGTTTTAAAAATAGCAAAAACTCTGTACCATTTTCATATACCTCCTGGACTAAACATACTTGGGGCTCCTTTTCTTGTTTATTTCTTGTAGCAACATTGAGTTGACTTAACTAAGAAAAATACTCTTTATGTTGTACTTAGAGAAGTGGACCTGTAATTTTACATGATCTTTTTATATAGGGTTTAGAGTAAAAGACATTTTTTTTTTTTATCTGAAGTCAAAAATAGCCCCTGGAATTCCTTGACAAATATTGGCTTCTCTTGATTACTATTCTAATCTCTTCTACTATTTTTTTTTCCTGCTCTACTACACTGATTTTATGTCTTTTGATATATCAAGCTGCTGAACTTATTTTAGCCTTCGGCACTTTGCATTTGGCCACACCCTCACCTAGAATGTCTTCCCTTTGCCTGCTTCTTTGCTTCATTCAGTTTTCACCTGAGAGTTGCCACCTCCGAGGCACCTTTCCTTAACAGACCTACTCGGAATAACTGTTCCCCCCCCCCCCCCCCATCACCCTCTGGCTTCTTACCCTGCTTCATTTTTCTTCATAATATGTAACTAGCTGAAAATATTTCCTGTATTTGTGTATTATTTTTCTTTCCCTGATAGAATGAAAGCTCCCTGAGAACAGGATCTTTGTGTACCTTGTGCTTTAGGCCTCAGGGCATAGAACCATGCTTATACTGTCAGTATAAATGCACTGAATGAAGGAATTTCTTGCTACTGTAATGTGGGAAGTTCAAGTGTACTCAAAGAATGTGAGTTGGTTCTCTAGACTGGCCTACCGACGGTACTGTGTTGGTTGGGTCAGCATTGTCAGCCAAGTTCAACAGGGGGAGCACCTGGAGCTCCTGGCATGTAACTAAACATTTAATTAATATTTAGCTGTTGTTATCTTTTGTATCATTAACAACCAGTAGCTAGTTTTAATGTTGAGAAATATATGAACTATAACAGAGTTTTCCAAAGTGTTGAGTGTGGACAATTCAGTGGTCTAAAAGGTGATTTTACATGATTTATAGAAAAATTTTGTTTTAACTTTTTTTTAAGTTTGCTTTTTTATTCTGAGAGTGAGAGAGCACATAAGCAGGGGAAGAGCAGAGAGAAAGAGGAAGAGAAAGAATCCCAAGCAGGCTCCGCAGTGCCAGCACAAGAGCCTGACTTGGGCCTAGAACCCACAAACCAGGAGATCATGGCCTGAGCTGAGATCAAGAGTTAGATGCTTAACAGACTGAGCCACCCAGTCGCCCTGTTTTAACTTTTAAGGGTTATATATTTTATTAGATACTATAAAAATGTATCCCTAACATGATTTTGTGATATTATTAAGAAGTTTTAAGTTACAGTAGTGGTACAGAATTTTCTTTTAAAATAAAATGGTTTCAGTTTGAAAAACAGTTAATTGGAATGTTAAGTAACTAAAAGTACACTTGTTACACAGTCAAAAATGTTTAAGGTGGTACAGAATGAGTTAAGTTTAATCTGCAAGATTAACATTATTGAGAAAGGAGCAGAAATTTTTTACAGAATATTCTGGTAAGAAATGTCATTAGATTCCTGTGTTTTTTCAGATAAGCTTTTTAAATATCTGAATTATTTAATGATTATTGCTTTAAAATATAAAAAGTTTTATTTGACAAACAGATTATTCTCTTTAGTTTTGGTTTCACTTAGTTATTAAAAAAATAGAGATTAAAATGATTTTTTTTTCCTTTTTTTCAGTTGTACATGTGTTGTTCAATCACATAGACAAATCAGGATTGAAGGATAAGTCTGTTGAAGAACTTAAGAAAAGATACGGTGATTGATTTCCATTATGTACTGAAATTATTGTCATTGAGTTTCATATGTAAATTTTTTTACTGAAAATAAAGTATTTTGCTTTTTAAGAAAATCAAATCATACAGGAAAGGACTATCTATAGACCTTTATTATCTATAGTAAGTTAATTATACAGTGAACTGTGACTTAAGTAATGAGAAATGTCCTCAAGTGAACTATTTATAAGTCATTTTCCAGAAATAAAAATATAATGATGTATACTTGTGAAGATCAATAGTTTATGTCATTTAAAATTTTAAATCTACATTCTTCAGTACCCCATAATTATAACATTATTTTTATATTTTCATGTTTTTGTAGCCACATGACAAGGTTGCTTCATTAGCATATGAATAAAGTTATATTGGTAAAGAGGTTGTTAAGTAGATAAACAGTTTCTATAGTTTTAATATCATTATGTGAATTCAGTAATATAAAATTATTTAATTGCAAGGTGTGTAATTTTAGTATTTATGTTGAAAGGAGACTGTTAACTAGACTCTTCGAACAGGTTAATTGAAGAGTCACAGCATCCTTCAATTTTAATGCTGCAGTTTTTCTTCCCCCTCCTGATATCCACATTATTATGTCATCTAAAGGCAGATGATCTTCTAAAGTATAAAAATTTTCAAAACTAAGAATGTTTAAAGTAGTACTTAGCATGTAGCTTGCTTGTGTGTTGAGTGTACGTGTGGTATCTGTAAAAGCTTTCGGAAGCAGGACTGGGACTCCACTCGTCCTTGATTTGCGTAGTGCTCTGCACAGTCCTTTGCATGTAGGTAAGCGCTCAGATGATGTTTATACAGTTTGATTCAGTTTTACCATGCAAATCAACTTTAGTAAACATTTAAAATAGTACCCTAGCAAATTGGGGGCATACTGTAAGTGTTAAAACCAAGTTCATTTTAGAGGCCGTCAGGTTGTTAAAATGTTAGGTCACCATCCTGTAGCTGTTACCTGCATCAGTAAGACAGTCAAATTTAGGACTTTGATACTGTTGGTTATTTTTGTTACATTGTACATAGGCTTAAAACTGCTTGGGTAATAATCATACTGTGTTTACAAAGATAGTTTCCCAGTTCATGGTATGAATTATTAAAATGGTCACAATTTGTGTAGCCTCCATAGTTTACAATACACTGAGGATAGAGCTTGTTAGTGTTGCGCATTGTTAATTGTAGTGTATTTTGGTCTGTGAAAAGGCAATGAAATTGAGCCTTTTGTGTATAGTTTATACATAAGCTACAAGTATTGAGTTCGAATGACTTTAATTTTTCTCAGGTCATTAAGAAGTTGATTTTGATGTACAGAAAAGCATTCCAAAGGCAAAAATGTTCTTTTACTTATTTTATTGTGTGAGCCATAGAAAAAACTTACAAGGGCAGGTAGTGTGATTGCCTTTTTTTTTAAGTTTTTAATTTTAATTCCAGTATAATTAACATACTGTATAACATAGTCTAGTGTCGTGTTAGTTTCAGGCATATAACATAGTGAGTGATTCAGCACTTCCATCCATCCATCACCCAGTGCTCATCACAACAAGTGCCCTGCTTAATTCCCATCCCCTATTTCACCCATCCCTCCATCCACTGTTCCTCTGGTAACTGTCAGTTTGTTCTCTGTAGTTAAAAGTCTGTTTCTTGGTTTGTGTCTCTCATTTTCCTTTGTTCATTTAGTTTCTTAAGTTCCAGATAAGAGTGGGATTGTATGTCTTCTCTGACTGACTTTGCTTAACATTATACTCTCTAGCTCCATCCATTGTTGCAAATGGCAAGAATTCATTCTTTTTTTTTTTAAGACTGAATAATCTGTTGTATATGTACACCACATCTTCTCTATCCCTTCATCTGTCTGTGGGTGATTTTTAACATAAGAAAAGGAGATTCAGAGGGTTAATGGTTCCATGATTTCAGAGCTAAAAAATAGAGCAGAATATACTGTCTTGTATTCATAATCTGCAGCTATTTGAACTATTCCAACCTGGAATATTTATGTTGCATCACTTCTGTAGACCGTGGACTGACTGAAGAAGTATGGATCCCAAAATTTACTTTAGAATTTGTATTAATTTTAATGTTAACCTATTTTCTCCCAGAGAAGATTTCATGTAGTGGTTAAGACAAAAGGCTTTGGAGTCAGACTTACCATGTTTGTATTCTGGCTATTTATTCGTCTGGCTTTAGGGCCTTGGACCAACACTTTGCTTTGCTTTGATTTCCTAAGCTGTGGAATGGATATACTAATAGTTTCTACCTCATTGGGTGACTGCGAGGATTAAAGGAAAGGACACATTTGTGTTTGGAACAGAGTCCGGATATGTAGCAAGCACTTTAAGTTACTATTGTTACTGTTATTACAGTTACCCTCATTTCCTGAAAGTTGTTGGAATAAAGTATAGTCTTTATTGTTGCCTTACTGGAAAATAGCACAGTGGGAAAGTCATTTTGTATCCTGAGTGTACATCCTATTTGCACTTAAATTGCTTGTGACTTTGGACACATTACTCAACCTTCCTAAGCTTCAGTTTCCTCTTACATAAAATTAGAAAAGTAGTAAGTGCCTACGTCAAAGATTCTTGGAGAGATAAATATGCTAATACATGTAAACATTTAATATAGTGCTTGTCATACAGTGCTTAGTGGTTTTTGTTAGTAATATCAGTAATTGACATGAAACACAAAAGCAGAACTTTCTCAAGTGGTTTCTTTTAAAAAAATCCAATTCTTCACTGTTAATAGTATTTTCTTACTTGATAGCAACATTTAAATCATAATCTTGCATTATTGACAGAAATACCATGCCTACCATTTTGTGGCTCCCTCTCCCCCCAGTCTTTTTATTTGCATTAATTTCAGCAAATGGGTACAGGATACCCAAGTCCTTACTATTTCAGTAATTTATGTTAATACATTTGAGAAAGATTTTACTCTTGACCTACAAATCTGTTATCTGCGTTAAGAGAAAGTATTTCTGAACACAGTACCAAAGCTCAGTTCACCTTTTTTACAATTTTTTAATGTTTGGCATTTGTCAGAATTCTGTTTCAAGTAACATTAAAACATTTAATGTTAATTAAACTATTGTTTGATTGATTCATTTGTTAACTTAACAAGTATTTGTAGAGTACACGTCTAATATCAGGCACTAGTAGGCACTGGAAATATGAAATGAACAAACTAAAAATGGATTTTGCCTTCACAAAGCTTGAAGTGGTATGGGGGATAAAATAAACAGTATGACAGCTGTTGTGACAGGTAATACCAGGGGCTTGTGGGAAACAGCAGGAATAGATGCAAAATAACCAGACCTGCTTGACAGACTCTAATTTGGAGCATGGAGTAGGAGCTAGACAGTGGTAAGAAATGAAGCAGGAGAAGACAGCAGGGCCCAAACCATAGGAGATGTGGACTTTCTCGTGAGAGAATTGGGGAGCTAGGGAGTGCTCCTACAGAGGAGTGGTTGTCAGGTTTGTATCTTGGGCAGTTTACTTTGGCTGCTGTGGAAAGGACAGTTGCATGTGGGCTTTGAAGTCAGGGAAACTTGTTGGAAGACTGTTTAGGTGATTAAGAGATTATGGTATTCTGAACTAGAGTACTAGCCATAAGGAGGGGAGAGAAGTGGTAAGAATGGAGAAATGTTGAGCAAGTAGAGTAGAAGAGACCTGGCCATGGATTCAGGGCCTCCACATTCAGTGGTTCACTAGGTGAACGCTTCCTATCTGTGCGGCCTTCTGATCCTGTGTGGAATGAGCATTGGGGTGAGAGGTTGAGAAGTAGAAGGAAGCATTAAGGACCATGCCCAGATTTCCCCCCAAGAGAGTGGTAGTTTTATTCACAGAAATAAGAGACCACAGAGGGTGACAGAGGAATGTAGGGGACGAAGCACTGGGGAAAACTAGACACAGCCTCTACCCTCTGGTGACTTGCAGTGTAGCTGGGAGTCTGATAAGCCGACAGTTACAGTCCTGTGCTGCATCTCCTTTCTTTTGGGGCTGCTGCTGAGGTGGCTTGTATGGCAGATATTTTGTGGCAGCTCATTTTTACAGAGGTAGTTAAAGAAATCTTGTTTTTATGCTTTTAAAAATCTGAAATGGTATGGAAAGTAGACTTTCAGGAGCTTTTGCTTTTGAAAAAGATTGGAGAGATTTAGTTTTTCTGAAGTGAGTAACGAAGCAGGTGGCATTAAAAAGTAAAGCAAAATTTCTAGTTCACTGGAGAGTTACAGTATTCACAACTTTTTCCAGAGTAATTACTTGAAAAGGAGAAGAGTGAAGCTATACATGATGGTACAGGTTATTTCAAAATCACTTTGATTATATTTTGTGTAATAATAATTTGGGGCAACCAAAGAATTTGATTAGTAATCCTTTTTAACATGGTTTTGAATTACATATAGGTTTAAGAGTTCAATTATTTCCCTCTGAAGCATGAGGATGGAAAGTCTCAGTCTAAATTAGCCCTAACAGCAGCCCGTCTAGCTGTAGACTTCTCCCATCCAAGTACTAACCAGGCCAGACCCTGCTTAGCTTCTGAGATCAGATGAGATCGGGCACGTTCAGGGTGGTATGGCCGTAGACTAGCCGTAGACTTCTAACGAGATGGATCACTTGTTTTACTTCTGTATAGCGGCCACGTGCACTCCTTATCCTAACCTGTTAGTGAGGAGTCGGAATTCTACATCTCTCTTCTGATAATGGCTGCTCCTTAAGTCGGAACACCTCAGTATCTGGAAATAAATCTTCATGAGCTGACGCTTACAGTGGCGTTTAAAATTAAGTAAAAAAGACCTCTGGGTGATTTTATTGAGTAAGTGTTGTTCATCTATATTTATCCTAGAATTATCCTGGATTAATCCTATCCTAAATATCCATACTTAATAACAGAAAGACAAGAAGGCACACCACCCCCCACCACCTACAGAAACACAGCTTGTGTGTGTCTGCAGCCCTGCCCTGGTGCCACGCTGAACTCCGCTCTGGATGAGGCTACAGGTAGCCGTGTGGGGGGCTCGGTCTGTGTGCACCTGGGCCCTCCCTGTCCCAGGATGCGGGATTTAAGATAACTCCAGTGTTCATTGACTTCTCTGATTGCAACCAGCCAGTCCAACGTGGGAGGTCGGACACAGTCGATCCCTGTGGCTCATGGAGTCAGTACTGTGCCTTTGCAGTAACTGGTTCTGTGTTGATGGTCGCAAAGCAAGCAGGACTGTGCGTCGTGAAAGA